CTAAGTCGATGAGCTGTGCACTGCCTGACTGGAGCGGGGGGGGGGGGGGTTGTCCAAGGGGCTTATTTTTGGGGGTGGGCTGATATTTTTGCCCATGTGAAAAATGTGGCAAGGCATTAGTTTCAGGACAGGTTGTATTTTTGGGGAAACACGATAACTATTCCAAGGCATTAGGAGAAAATCTAATTCCTTACCCCTTCATAATGACAGTTGCACCATGGGGAAACTTCTTTTTCCAAGCCAGAAGACAACAACGCTTTGCTTGCTTTTAAAGCTCAGTGGAACAGTTTGTGCTTTTTGTACAGGAACATCCAGTTCCACTCCTAACATCTTCAATTCAAACTAAGAACGAGCCGCTAACATTGAAGGACTTTATTAGAAAACTAGGAGTATATAAATCAAAAGATCCAGGAATAGAGAAAGTAGGTCAATAATTTCAGTAGGGTAAAAATATTCCTGTGCACTAATGAAAACAGAATAGGAATGAGAGGAAAAGACATAATTCTGCATATCCTCACATTTAATTTTTCTTAAATTTTACACGCTCCAGTTAACATTCACACAGACACTTGTAGCATGCAAGAAGGATTTGTGCGGAAAAAAGAAATGGCTATAAAAATAACACATCGGAGTTTTTTTGTAAAAATACTTGTTAGAAACCCTTGCTTGCAAAAGAAAAATATACTATGCAAACTGACCCAGAGAATAAAGGGCAAATGTGCATAGCACTGCCAGGGTTCTTCTTGTGTCCAATTTTGCCTTTAAACAAACAAACAAAACACTGCAACTGACGTGAAGAGGACTAAATCAAAAGTTTATGATCAGATTATGAAAGTAACCAAAATTGATATATGCCGTTATTCCTAGAACTAAGTCAAGAAAGCTCAAAGAATAGATCAGTACTGGAGGGCCAAAATAAATGATCCCAACTCTTTAACAATTATGACCTAGTGACCACATATGGCCAATAGAATGTAGATGCACAGTTGAGAATCTCCTTCAATGTCTATCACTCTCCTTGATGTCTATCTATGTTGCTTGCTGGGTGCTGCTCAAGTCATTTGTTTTGTGAGAAGATAAAGATATATAAATTGGGTAAATAAATATATAATCTGAGACTACTGTACTTCCTTTGGTTTTTTTTTTTGCAAGCACACACATTTGGGCATCTGGGTTTGTGATAGTGGTGAATATCTACAGCTTGGGTGTAGGATGAGGGTGTAGGTTCACTCTCTGAGCTTGTGAGTTGGCTTCCAAATGTTTCATTACCAGGCTAGGTAATATCTTTAGTGGAATTTAGGGAATGCCAGTGACTGTGTTCTTCTGTTTATAAGGGCTTTGTGTGGTTGCGGGTGTAGGATGAGGGTGTAGGTTCATTCTCTGAGCTTGTGAGTTGGCTTCCAAATGTTTCATTACCAGGCTAGGTAAGATCTTTAGTGGAATTTAGGGAATGCCAGTGACTGTGTTCTTCTGTTTGTAAGGGCTTTGTGTGGTTGCGGGTGTAGGATGAGGGTGTAGGTTCATTCTCTGAGCTTGTGAGTTGGTTTCCAAATGTTTCATTACCAGGCTAGGTAAGATCTTTAGTGGAATTTAGGGAATGCCAGTGACTGTGTTCTTCTGTTTATAAGGGCTTTGTGTGGTTAGCGGGGCTTGTGATGGGAAGGTCACTTCAGGTGAGAATCATGTCAGGTAAGGGTCTTGTCATGGGTCTTGCAATGGGTCAGGTGTGGGTCAAATCAAGGGGGGTNGGGTGTACCTAGGTACACCCGATATCGCTCGCGTGGCTGCATTCTGGACCAATTGTCTCTGAACACTCTTCAGGGGCAGCCCCATGTAGAGCGTGTTACAGTAGTCGAGTCTTGAGGTGACGAGGGCATGAGTGACCATTTGAAGTGCCTCCCGGTCCAGGTAGGGCCACAACTGGTACACCAGGCGAACCTGGGCAAAAGCTCCCCTGGTCACAGCTGACAAATGGTGTTCTAGTGTCAGCTGCGGGTCCAGGAGGACACCCAAGTGTCCCAAATAGGCTCCACCTTTTCTCGATTTTTGAACAACATTTGAATTAAGAACTATCCTTCCTTTCTTAAGATAAAAAAGCTTTCTAGATATAATTTCAAGAACTCTCTTGTTCTGGTCTATGGAGATTCGCAGTCATCCAATCCATGGTTGTCCCAAAAGTACTTTTTCAAGAGGCAACTGGACTTTCTGTTTTTTCTTTGAAGTCGTTTCGCTTCTCACCCAAGAAGCTTCGTCAGCTCTGACTGACTCTTCCCCGCCATTCAGTCAGAGCTGAAGAAGCTTCCTGGATGAGAAGCGAAATGTCTTCAAAGAAAAAACAGAAAGTCCAGTTGCCTCTTGAAAAAGCAGCTTTGCGTCTCTTGTTCTGGGTTTGAAAAATGGGCCTTATTGAATTCAGAGAGAATTGTGAATGCAAAGCCTAGAGGAACACCACCAGGGGTACAGAATGAATATAGTGGCTGAGGCCTCCTCAATGAGTGCAAGAAAAGTGAAATAGGATGACAGACTTTTACCGGGAGGTAATCTAAGTTTTATCTGCTATTGATCAAGGGTATCACTGCTATTCATAAAGGGCTGTCCTTGGCCATCATTGTACCAGAACTAATATATTTAAGGCAATGGGGAAAAATCCCTCCCTAAAGCATTCTACTGTTTAAATTAAATTAAATTAAAACCACTTATTAACAAATAATCAAGTCAATGTAGGTTTTTACTTTGGCTCATGTTTATAAAGCAAACAAAAATAAATTGATATCTGCTCTATTATTACAGATGATATTTTCAAATGGTATGATGATTCCAAAGTAAATTTTACAAACTGGATAGAGGAAGACAGTAACAATGAACTTCTAAACACTTGTGCTACTATGCATACAGCTTCAGGTGGATGGAAAAAAGTCTCCTGTGAACACCTTCCGCTGACTAAGATCCTATGTGAAACTACTGGTATGTAAGAGCCATGCTGCATTGCCTCAAAAATGCTACAGTATTGAAGTTTTTCTATTATAGGAGAGGAATTTCACAGGCTGTGGAAGGGCTTTCAAGTAGAGAAAACTCCTGCTGTTATTTACCTCCTCTTCAAAACACACTGGGGCCCTTCATCAATTACCAGTCATCACGGTCATTAAACTTAATCCCAGTGTCATTTTATTCCTGTACTGGTCATATATGCAGTGTAATTATGATAACATTAATTAGATGCAAATGAATTATTCAAGAGAAACTGGAAACAATATGTTATCTTGCTACTGGGCTTTTCACATAGCAGAATACACAGGAAAAATTATCTACATACTTCCCTGTTAAGGAGCTTAGTCCCAACTCTGGTAGGGTTATTGCTAAATGTCTTTCCCATTAGCAGATTTAGGAAACAAATTCTTTTGATTATTCCTACTGCAAGCATAATTAGGATGAGCATTGTTTTTTAAAAAGCAGTTGCCAAAGATTAATTTGGTTTGTGGGTCTCCTGATTCCAGCACTGAAACTGAATAGACTTCCAAGACTTCAAGATTCACATTCTAGGGTTTATAAAGTTTTAACTGGGTCAATAAAAATGAACTGTGCCTTTCTTATCTATCAAAATTCTTATTGGTGGTGATATACTCTCAGGTTATCAGTGCAATGCTGTTTTTTCCTTTCTGTGGGCAGAATCATTCTCTTAGAAAAATGACTTGGGAAGGATTCTTGCTTGTGAGATTTTTAGAGGATGCTTTATTCATTATTATGGTGTTCAATCTATGACCAATATAAACACCAGAATCAAACTACAGTCAGTAGGCCCCTGTGGATGAACAGTACTGTACCTGCATTTGAATACCCATCTAATTTACATCCAGAATTTCCAATCCCAAGGTCCTCGCAGAGAAATTACTTCAACTGGATTTTACACACACACTTTTGAATGAGCAGGTTTTTCAGGTTTTATATTGATTATTGTTATTTGGTCAGTAAGTGGCTTATTGCCAACTATTGGATAGTAATTTTTTCACTACTTCTCTATGAGATAGTTATATATATATATATAACTATATACACCATACACACACACACACACACACACACACACAGATAGATATATAGATATAGATAGATATAACATCCAAATTAATATGTTCTTATTTTTTCCTTTGCACGTTGCTAGTTCTTTATGAAAAGACACGCTTATTTGGTGAGTAATCTGCTTTTTTTTCTTTATATTGTAATGAAACAGTGCTAAGATAGTGTCTTTTTATTTCAGTTTCCTTTTTTCTGGAAATAACATTCAGAGTTATCATGGATTGGTTCCATGTGTGGATATCATTAACAGCAGGTCCATCAATGTAATTTAGCCATGACTAATTTAATTCATCCCACTGATTTTAATAGACCTTTTCTAAGCAAGGAATTATTGTTGTGTATTCTATTTGGATATGCAAGAAGCCATATTAAAGATATCCATTCACTGTTAAATGTCACTGATTCCCCACATTTTTGTTGCCATTTGTCTGGTACATATTGGAGAATTTTTTTATATCATGAGGACAGGTCCACTGGAAGCTGTATCGGTCAGGACATGGAAAATCAGAACTCCATAAAGGCAGTAACTCAACCATTTTTCAAGCTTATTAAAATTCTTATTAGACTAATTAAATGTTAGGGTGAAAATGATAAAATTATATTTGATGCACTCTAAAATGGAAGATGTGAGTATAAGGAAGATAGTTTTGTATTTGAAGCAGCATGATGAAACATGCTTCAGTGGTAGAAGTTACTTACCACATACATAAGACCAAGTAATACAGGTAGTTCTTAACTTACAATTGAATGCAAAATTTTCATTGTTAAATAACACAGCTGAGTTATGTTCCATTTTATGGCCTTTTTTGCCACAGTTGTTAAGGGAATCACTGCAGTTGTTAAGTAAATCATGCAGTCATTAAGCAAATCTGGCTTCCCCCATTGACTTTGCTTGTCAGAAGCTACCTAGGAAGGGTACAAGATGGTGCTCCCATGACCCTGGGATAGTGCAACTGTCTTAAGTACATGCCAACCCAACCAAACTGGGTTGCCAAACACTCAAACTTTGATCACATGACTATGTGGATGCTGCAACAGTTGTAAAAACCAATCATAAATCACTTTGTTCAGTGTCACTGTCATTTCAAATGATCACTAAATGAATTGTAATCTTTGGACAATGCAGGCTCTCTTGGCTAAGAAACAGAGATAAACACTGCCCCTTAGTGTCAGACACGATGGGACAGGGAAACCTTTCTCTTTTTTTAAGTTGAGGACTATCTATATAGAAAGTAAAAAGTGACATGGTAACATCAAAGTATTAAGGAAACATTTCTAGATCTGTTTATTATCTCAGGTAATTCCCCACATCCTAGAGATCTAGGATTGTGGTCTATTGACTTGTACCTGCTCTAAGAGCCTTGGTGTCACAGTGGTTAGAATGAAGTATTGCAGGCTAGTTCTGCAGACAGCAAGCAGGTCGAATCTCACCAGGCTCAAGGTTGACTCAGACTTCCATCCTTCCGAGGTGGGTAAAATGAGGACCTGGATGATTAGGGGCAGTATGCTGACTCTAAACCGCTTAGAAAGAGCTGTAAAGCACTATGAAGTGGTATATAAGTCTAAGTGCTAGTACTATCTTAAAAGTCTCTGGAGATTCTCAGTAATTAAAAGATCTTAAAAGATTTACTGGGTAAATAAAAAGCTGTGCATAATCCAATCAGGGAAATGGTCCAATAATATCAGAATGTTAAATAGCTGAAAAATATTTGCAGTTGCAGAAAACAACATGTCTGATTATGTACTTTTCTTGTAATCTCTGTCGTTTCAGAAACTGCTTGGATGAGCATCATAGTCATAATATCAACAATAACTGTGGCAATCTCTGCAGCATTTCTCTGGTTTCTTTATCAAAGGATATCTTCTAGACCAGTTTGTAGCATACATAATTCCATCACTCAAATTCCATGTGACAATGAAACATTTTTTATAGATGAAGATGAATATTCTGCTTAAACTGTTTTCATTTAGATACTGTTATAGAAAGAGACACTGGCACAAAAGCAATCTTCAAAACCACTATCCTCTATTCTAATGAAATATAAAGCAAATAATGTTTCTTAAATTGTTTTACATATGAAATGATTTTCTATCTAAATGTCCGTTTTTCAACATGCTTGATACCCTTTTAATAATATCATAGTTTAGAAATCATTTTTATCCAAAACGCCCAAAGATCCTTTGGAAGGCAGAAGCTCCTCCCTTCACCAACATTATGCTACATTTATTCTGGTGAGACATTGCCAATAGTCTCATAGCACCCATTTGTTTATGAAGTTCAAAATTCCAATTGTGGACTAACAATCAAAAACTCTTTATATCATTACCAAAATTTTAAAGTGCAGGACTTTAAATATTATCTTTAAGAAATGTGGAGCAACTGCAATTATGAACAATGGACTGGACAATTTATTAAAACCTTGTATCTTTATCATGAAGTCTGCTTATTCTCCTAGTGAATGTCAACTTTTTTTTAATATTAACAAAATATGGAACTATGGCAAGGACCTTCAACATAATCCCAATCTTTTTATATATGTCTATTTTAATACTCTGTTCTTTGAAATAAAATTTTGATTATTAATATTTGCAGTTTTTGGAGCTCGAATAAAAGCGGCCCTGTCTAGAATTGCATACATAAAGCAATTCAGTATTTACAATTAGGCTATCAATTACTGATAGGCACATGGTGTTTGGGAATTAAGGCTTATCATACCAGAGACTGAATAAGAAATTGCTTAAACAACATTATTCAATGGTTGCCTCATGTTATATCTAGCATTGGTCACAATTAGGCTAAAATATACATACATTTCTGTATAAATGAGCGTTATATCAAAATAATCATTTGGATGGTTGAATATGTGTATCACATCTTTACTACACTAGCTGACTTTTATAATTTAGATAATTACATGCCTCTTGGTGCCAGAGAAAAGGCCATATTTTTTAAACAGGTCTAATGTCCCATCCCCCCATCTCTCCTAAATTAATTTTAGTCAATTTTTTCATAAACAAAAGGGAAGAGAATTTAGAAGAATGTAGCTCATATCATTGTAATTATTATTTTTTCTCTAATCGCCTTTTTCCCCAAAATGAGGTACTAGCCTTCATAGGCAGCACTTTTCAGATTACAGCTCGAAACAGCAAATACAAAAATTTTCTATAGAACAAAATATGAAGACTCAAAATAAGTAAAAAAATTCTTTACATTACTTGCTCTCCTTTTTAACTTTTCCTTAAGATTGGCCTTCATATCTCTATTCCAGTATTTCAAAAAGCAGCAGTTAACAGTAGAAGATACACAAACTCTGGACTGCAGTTTTAAAGCATTGAATATGTGTAGAATCTCTATATGGACTTGGAAAAGTTGATATTTTTCGCCAGGCTGTTAATCTTTCTTGAAGTAAAACAAAAACCTGTTTTCCTACAAAAACTGTACTGTAGCGATCCATTGGGCTAAGGGTATCTTAGAATACAGAACCTCTACACAGACAGTCCTTGCTTAATGATTGCACAGGGCATATTCAGTTATGAAGAAACAACTTTTCAACCAATCCTTGTATATACAATCTTTGCAGCTCTGTAAAGCAAAGGAAAGCTGAAATAAGATCAGAAGCAGACTTGCAGTTTCATTCGGCAATCACTTTATTTAACAAGTTGCCAGTTCTTAATGTAGTCGCTAAACAAGGACCACCTGTGCTCTATTTACAATTGGGCAAAGTTGCCCACCAATGAATATCCAGCTGTGTTCTATCAACTAAGATTCATAGAGGTAGTCCTTGGTTTACTATCATAATTGGGACCAGAATTTCTGTTGCTAAGCAAGGCAGTTGTTAAATGAGTCGTGCTTGATTTTGCAACCTTTTTGCCACAATTGTTAAACAAATCACTTCAGTTGTTAAGTGATTCAGGTTCCCCCACTGACTTTGCTTGTCAGAAGCTGGCTAGGAAGGCCCCAAATGACGATCATATGACCAAATATCATAAATATCTATTAGTTGCCAAATGCCCAAATTTGATTATATGACTATAAAGACACTATGATGGTTGCAAATGCAAGGACTGGTTGTCACTTTTTTCAGTGCCATCATAACCTCAAACGGTCACTAGATGAATGGTTGTAAGTCAAGGACTTTGTGTTAGGAAGAAATATTCAACTACACAGAAGTAATATGGAACAACTGTTTGAGTGCAACAAAGGTTTTTTTAGATGCAAAGAATTCTGTGTGAGCTGAAACTCTAATGGGAATCCTTAATTCTAAGTGGGATTATCATGTGGAAGGAACAAGGTAGCACAATGTACTTTGGATGACAGCTTTACGACTTTAGTTGGATCAGGACCATGGATTGCATTGCCCCTTCTCCCACTCTCTCTTTGAATCTCAAGCAACTCATTTTGAAGTGGTCAAAAGGATAAGTTAAGCAATATGAATGTATTTTATATGAATGTATCTGCAGAGGCAATATTCTGAAGTTTAAAATGGACGCTGCTGATTTGGAATAAATAGACTATGTTCTACAGGTATTCCTTGACTTACGACAGCAATTGAGCCCAAAATTTATGTTGCTAAGTGAAACATTTGTTAAGTGAGTTTGCCCCATTTTACAATCTTTCTGGCCACAGTTGTTCACTGAATCACTGTAATTGTTAAATTAGTCCAACTGTTAAGTAAATCTGGCTTTCCCATTGATTTTGCTTGTCAGAAGTTGCAAAAGGTGATCACGTTTTTCAATGCCATTGCAACTCTGAATAGTCAGTAAACAAACTGTTGGAGGTCGAGGACTACCTGCATTCATATAAGGGGAAAATGATGCTCTTTGTAAAGGGATCATTCTCAGAAAGTGCTTTCCTGGAAAAAATGGCAAGTAGTTTCTGAATGGTTGCCAGGAAACTTGTATGGATGCAACTTGAAATCCTAGAGCTAACCTAGGAGGAGACATTAGCCTTATGAGCAACACAGAAAACATATCCCCATTATGGTTTCGCCCCAACAGATTCAATCAGCACTGACATTCTTAAACCAAACAAAATTCCTATGTGGGTATGGCTTAGACTCTAAATGTTACCTTATTTTAAAGAGGTATAGACAAACCATAGGATTGCAATTTTTATTTAACAAACAAGTGACAACACTAGAAAACACATTGATAACCAGTGCCTTATCAGTGAATGTGGGTTCTAAAAAATGTTCATTCAGATAAATAGCTTGGTTAAGATTCTAAACCATAAGTTTTATTCCTTCCAGAAATGCTGAAATGTTTGTGTTTACTGCTGTAATTCCTCATTGGAATTTGTACATAATATTATCAAATATAATCCGCAGTTTTGAAATCAATACTTATAAAAGCCTTAATTAACACTTATTAGTAGCCCCTTGCAAGTTTATTGCTTTGAGTTAAACACTCCTCCAGAAAAACGTAGAGAAACTTAACACTAATTACAGAACCCATTCACTCCCTCATTCAATCTAGGTTGTTCACACTGGAACCAAAATGATGAGACTTCCCAATATATATTTTTAAGTGGTAAGTTAACAAAGAATTATCCCCTCCCCGCGACTTGAACTTGCAAACTCATTTAACAGTTCCACTTAGTGCCGGCAGAAGAGCAAAACATGAGAAACATTTCCCAGAATTTATAACCGATTTCTGTAAGAAGTTTATACAAAAAGAACTCTTCCTTACAGATAAAAATCATACCCTTGAGAAGAAGGCATACATCGTCATACTCTGAAAGAAGAAAGATACTCTTGCAGACTGAATGAGCAATATCCAGTATCTATGGATACCAGTGTGCAACAGCAGATTTTCTGCTTGACTCAGCAGTTCTTCAGAAATCTAATAGAATTCATCATGGTTTACTAAATAAATGTGCACTGGTGATACTTGTGTCAGCTGAGCATTCAGCCCTTTCACTCCATCTATGCAGCATCAAGGGTCCTATCGAGATCACCATCTTCAGAATCATCATCATCTGAAGCTGCTGAAAGTACAGAATATAATCAGAAACTTTTCAAGGACATTATTTTTAATGTGACATAGAACATCTTGTAACACATTTATGTATGTTTGAACTTGGTGCTTCGTAATGGAGTGCTTCCCTAAATTAATATCTATGTACAACTTTAACTTAACATCTCTGAAACTAAAAATCAAAATGCACCTATGTATACTTATGCTAAAGTATACTGCTTTTAGTAAGCACATGAATGTAAAAGGATATCAAACTTTGTTTAAAAAGTAATTTGAGAAAGGAGAAGGATAAAATTTAGAAAATTAAGTAAAAATATGTAAAGCAACTATCTTTAGGTACCATTTCAATAATTCTCAATGGGAGCCCACTAATGAAATTCTTGTATACTTTCTAACAACTACAATTCTATAAAAATGTAGACACTTACTTGCCAACTTTCACAATACTGTTCTGCCCATCATTTCAATTTAACATGTTAGGAACCTATAGGAATGGTTTGTGGTTTTTTGTTTTGTTTTTTTACAGCTGCACAATTTAAGAATGATAAAGGGCCAGATTTTTATCAATGCAATAAAGTGTTTCACATCATATATGATTTTGCTTTGGTTTTAATGTGCAAGTACAGAATATGAATGGCAATATATAAATAACTTTAGCAAGCATCTTAAATACCAAAAAGACTAACAAAGGATTTCTTTTCCCAAAAAGAGTATGATTAAATTACATGGTTAAGATTATTATGAAATAAATGTGTTAAGGAGTAAAAGCCCTTTTAAAGCAAAAATCCAGATGTAGCTAGTGTAAATGAATGGTCAAAATCCAAAATGTCCTTAACAGGAAGCCTAAATTTGTAAATGAAGTAAATAATACCAAATAAATAAATGAGGTTTGTATTAAATATCTATATATGTATGAACAGGGAACAAGGAAAACTTTTATGGACACAAATAACATTCATTCACAGAATATAATTTTAGTTTCTTTTATCATCACCCTAACCTACAGGTGAAACTTGAAAAATTAGAATATCGTGCAAAAGTTCATTTATTTCAGTAATGCAATTTAAAAACTAATATATGAGATAAGACTCATTACATGCAAAGCAAGATAGTTCAAGCCGTGATTTGTCGTGATTGTGATGATTATGGCGTACAGCTCATGAAAACCCCAAATCCACCATCTCAGAAAATTAGATTATTACATGCAATCAATAAAACAAGGATTGTGCATAGAACAATACTGGACCTCTGAAAAATATAAGCATGCATATGTACTCAATACTTGGTTTGGGCCCCTTTTGCAGAAATTACTGCCTCAATGCGGCATAGCATGGAGGCTATCAGCTTGTGGCACTGCTGAGGTGTTATGGAAGACAGGATGCTTCAATAGCGGCCTTCAGCTCTTCTGCATTGTTCAGTCACATGTCTCTCTTCTTTCTCTTGGCAATGCCCCATAGATTCTCTTTGGGGTTCAGGTCAGGTGAGTTTGCTGGCCAATCAAGCACAGTAATCCCATGGTTATTGAACCAGGCTTTGGTGCTTTTGGCAAAAGTTGCTTGTTTTATTGATTGCATATAATATTCTAATTTTCTGAGATGGTGGATTTGGGGTTTTCATGAGCTGTACGCCATAATCTTCACAATTATGACAAATCACGACTTGAACTATCTTGCTTTGCACGTAATGAGTCTTATCTCATATATTTAAGTTGCATTACTGAAATAAATGAACTTTTGCACGATATTCTAATTTTTTGAGTTTCACCTGTATGTAATGGACGGTAGGATATGTAAGTGGGGCCTTTAGGCATAGAGATCTATAGAAAAAAGACATCAAATGTACACACAATCTAAAGATGCAGGAGAAAAATGGGTTGGCAGTAACAAGGGTTCATTACAACTGCTGTATCAGCAACCGTATCTTAAATGGAACTACCTCAAACAGACATCACCCCATAAGATGTTTTATTAAAAGTATACATTCCCCAAAAGATAATTAGAGTCCTATTAGAGAAAGACTATTCTTCAAAGATCTTTAGCTGAACCCTCCCAATGCCTACCTGAAAGCAAGTCTATGATCACATGTTTGAGTCAGCAAGATCAGCCTTTCTTAGGTATATAAAAACTGATCAAGACTAACCAGGTTCTAGTAATTTCAGTGGATGGACTTTGTTTCTTTCAATTATAAATGTTAAGTGTATGCATACTATGGCGAGTTTAGTTTAGTTTTTGCCATTCAAACTTTCTCAGAGAAGAAAGTGCAGGGGACTTTGAAACAAGTAAACAGATTGTGTTTCCTCAGGAACCGGATTTTGAGATTTGAGTTCTTCAGGTGCCCTTACAATTTCTTCTAATTCTATCTGAAAACTGCAGATCAACTCAGATATTTTGGTACTTAATATTACATATAAGAATAGACTGTACTTTATCCCTTTTTAAACTTAGTAGTAAAATCACCTACTTTCAATATCATCCATGTGTGCCTGAAGAGTTCTTGCAAGATTAATAAACTAGAAGCAATGCAAAAAGGCAGTTTTAAAAATGCAACTCACCACAGGACCTTACACCATTAAAAATTCAATACCACAAGTAAATTTTTCAATAATTCCTCATTTCTCATATACGTGAAAAGTGCCTACTGTCTCCAGGAACACATCTTACGTAAAAACATGCGAACTGGTGGATTATAAATGCATTTAGACCCTCTAAACTAGAGAAAATTGCATGCAACAATGAGAATGGCTGTGACCCAGTGGTTCACTTTTTACATTTTTCTGTTAAGAAACGTAAGGCTGCATGCAACTGAGTCAATGCTGCTGGAATGTAAAAGCAAAAATGGTGCATGATTTGAGCATGTTTTGAATTTAAATTCTCCTGGAGGTTTTAGCCTGAGCTGATGAATGGGCAAAATCAGCAACATTGCCATTCAGTTAAACATAGGGTATTTAAATCTCCACCTTATAAAAAAGAACTATTTAAGAACAGAGTCTAAATATTAAGGGCACTTTCTAAATTATCAAGAATTCAAAAAAGCTGTTAAACTGCTGCAGTTCTAATAGACCAAAGCATTACAAAGAAGAGTCCGTTAAATATACGTATAAATCCACTTGCATATTTCATCATTTCTGATACAACTAAGTGCTTAACAATTTAGTTGCAGATTGGGATATACATTATATTAAAAAGAACAGAATATAAATAAAAGAATATCCCCACATAACGTTTTCCTAAAATATATTTAAGATTTGTTCAAAATAGATATGTATAAGCTAGAAAATGAGAAAGACAGTAAAAATATTAGTCAGTAATAGTTACGACCACAATTTCTGTTGCTAAGTGAGACATTTGTTGAGTGAGCTTTACCTCATTTTATGATCTTTTTTGTCACAGCTGTTAAATTAATCACTATACTGGTTACGATAATAACGCAGTTAAGTGAATCTGGCTTCCTCATTGTCTTTGCTTATCAGAAGTTTTCAAAAAATGATCACATGTTCCTGGGACATTGCAACCATCATAAATATGCAATGGTCACAAGTATGGGAAATGGTCGTGTCACTTTTTTCAGTACTGTTGTAACTTTGAACAGTCACTAAATGAACTGTTAAGTCAGACTTAACTGGACAACTGAAGTATTTTCCCTACAAAGAAAAACTAGGATGTTCCCATTTTGGGAAATGGACTTAGAAAATGAAGACTAAAACAAATTAATGGAAGGCAGCCTTTCCTTTTCAGAAGGCCAGTAAATCAGGCAATAAAATAGTTGCCAGATTATAGTAAGATACCCAAAATATATTCTGCTTTGTTGTCTTTCCCAGCATACTTTTTAAAGCAGGTGCTACCTTAGCAATGTAAACCCTAAAGCGGAAAGGCTGCGTTATCAACACAGCGTACGTCTAGCTACTCTCTGGCCAGGTTCCTTTCATTCTATGGTTTTAAATGGAACCCCTGACCTTCTTGAATGTCTTTTGGGGAGCTGTACAGAACATCAGGAAGAAGAGCAAAAAGCACACATTTGAAATTAGTCTCTTTTGGTTCTGGACATATAATATTTGAAAGAGATGGAATGTGCTTTAATTGTAGTAACAAACTGGTTCTATTACAGAAACAAGTCATATCCCTTACCCGGATACGTGTGTTGGCCTCACTTGTAGTTCCCAGCATATCTGAAAAGCGTTGTTCACACAAATGTAACAATACTACAAGGTAAAGCCCAGAACTGATAAATTCATAGTCTGCCTGGAAAAAGAAGGCATTAGAAGTCAGATACTCAAGCTTTCCAAAATATATACTGTGTTTTCATGATCATGTTCCCCTTGATTGCAGGGGTACAACTTCAGACTTGGATCTGAACTTTCTGGAACATTTGAAGAAATAACTCATCTAATCACACTTCCTGATGATTCTTCATTTCAATTTACTGCCTAGCTCTCCATTCCAGTAATTATTGTGACAAATCATTTTGAGTAAGGGGAGGGTCGAGAGCCATATAATTTACATCAACTGTTTTGAAGTCCTTGTTGCTAAACAAACAATGCCTTTAATACCCAAAGTTCACAATCTGACGTTCAAGTTTAAACAGTTATAAAAACTGAGAACCAAATATTAGACAGTACATTTCAACTATTCTAACTGGAAAATTAATACTGTTTAGCATTTATGAGAAATAAAACCCTATCTTTGGTATATAAGAAAGTAATTAAGAAAAGAAAAGATCTGGGGAACCAATCAGAAAAAGACCGTTGGATTCCAATTCTTCTACAGACTTTTTCCCAGTGGTCAACTGGGCAAAATAGTATAGGCTCAAATTTAGTAAAGTGTGTTTACACTGCAGTACTTTTTGGAAAGGAAAACCAATTGTCACTGCCAAAGAAACCCAGTGTCTTGAAAGATTTATGCATGTTCCTTAATCCCAAGGATCCTTATTTCAGCAGTATTAGCAAATGAAATAGGTTTATTAAAGTTCACTCTCACTTCCTATTTGTATCATTTTCAAATTCTAGCCTTCCAAAACCCCAGGCAAATGAATTTGAGAACACATAACACAGCACAAGCAAGTTACAAGATTCTAAGATGTCCTTCATTCTCCGTCACTCTCTCACACATGCTCAAGAAAAAGCCACAGAAAGTCTAATAAATGGTATACAAATTTAATACAAATACCCTCGTCCAGTTCCCAGGGCTCCTAGCAGGAGCCAGGGTTCAGATCTTTGGAGCCCAGATACTCTAAAACCTATTAATAGCATAACTGTCTATTAAATCATGAAAACCAAAAGGGATGCTTTCTTTGTGCATGTAGATTGGAGGGGTCAGTTGAGTAGGCTGCTTCCCATGCTATTCAGTAGCAACTCAACTTTGCAAGACAGATCCAACTGCTCAGATGCAAACTGAATTGTTGTCTGCCAGTGAAGATAACTGGACGTCTTGTGATCTGGAATCATTATAAGTTTTTGAGTCCCAAGTACGTAGATAGGATCCTATGCATTTAGTTCCATTATTTCTCCATTTGTTGGTTCAGTTTAATAAAGCCTCCTGTGAGATGGCAGAAGGTTGAATCTGAGTAATCAGTAATTCTCTGAATGAGGGGTTGTTACTGACATCTCTGAAGATGCCCTTACTTAAAAAAATATATATTTATTTGATCCAACTGACATAGACAATTATAAACTTGTTCCCAACCTTCCTCTTCTTAAAAATAAGTGGTGACCTACAAATGAAAAACACCCTAGACTGAGGGAGCAGATTGTTTGGACTCTTGGCAGTCAGAATTCAAGCTGGGTTACAGCACGGAAATGGTACTGGTTGTCCTTGTAGATGATCTTTGAAGAGACTGGGATTTGGGAATGCAACCCTCCTCCCTTTCTTGATCGGTCAGCAGCTTTTGATACTACTGACCATGGCATTCAGGAATTATCTCCAAGGGACTGGAATAGAAGGCCCTATTTTGGAATGGTTTGCTCCTTCCACAAAGCCCAGTTCCAATTGGGTTAGTAGGAGAGGTCTGTGGGCAGGTTTTGTGGAGGGCCTCTCCATTCCTTTTTAACATTTACATGAAATCATTGGAGGTGGTCTTCTGTGGGTTTGGTATCCATATTCTGATCATACTGAAATATATGCCCCATTCCTGATACAATAGAAGTGCTGACCTGGTGACTAGAGATTATCAGGGTCTGGCTTGGGATGAAAAGATTTCAACCCCTCCAAGATGGATTTGAGTTTGTGGCCTGAATAATATCAAGGATACACCATATTTTATTCTGAACAGGTTGTACTTTGCAATTTGAGAGTCTTCCTAGACTTAAGAGTTCCTGTTTGAGAAACAAGCAGCTTTAGCTAGGAAGACATTTGTAGTTATAGCTTTTGTGTGTGTATACACACTCTACATGGGGCTATTCAAGTATCCTAGAAGCTACAGCAGATGCAGAATGCAGTGGCCCAAGCAGTGATAGGCATACAGATGAAACTCGAAAAATTAGAATATCGTGCAAAAGTTCATTTATTTCAGTAATTCAACTTAAAAGCTAATATATGAGATGACTCATTACATGCAAAGCAAGATAGTTCAAGCCATTTGTCATAATTGTGATGATTATGGCGTACAGCTCATGAAAACCCCA